AGACAGATTTGTGATAGTATGTGTGTGATAAGAAGTGATTTTCGCACGTGGAGGTAAACTGTCATAAATAATCACTTTAAAATAAACGCTTGACCACAGATTTTTGATAAAATTGTAAATGTTATACTTCCGTTCTAGATGTACCTTTGGTCTATTTTTTTGACATATATTAGTTAAACTTTACTTGAAGATGTTAAATAAAGAAGAAATGTCTACTCCTTTTTGTGGAAAGGGATTAAGATATGTTTTTGTTTTGTCAATGTTTATCGGTAGTAGGTTCTATGTCATACTTTAACTTTGTTGGCAATACTATAGTTTTGTCAATTTTGACCATTCCTTCAGCCCCAAATTGTACTTATACATTCGTATATTACTAATTCGAATTAAATCGTAAGATCGCAATCGTTTTAAGAAAAAAAAACATTATGATTGGCCAAACAAGCAGAAAAGTACAACAGAATCATAGAATTAAATATTCATCCCATCGAAAATTTTAAGTAAATCAGTATTGATAATAGTTACAAAATAAAATAATGAAAGTAAAGAACATGTAAGTATGTCACTCAATTTCATTATAAAAAAATTAACGTAACATAGAGATTACTGTCTAGAAACATTTTATACGGTTAAAATTACTTTGCGTGGTAATTTTGTATTCAACTAATACATGTATAACAGCATCATTATTCTTTAATAAAAACCAACACTAATTATGTTTTTTTTAATATAAATTGAGTGGTCAAAGACATTGATAGGGTCTTCACATTATCATCAGTAATTTTTAGTACCTACACTATATTTTAATTATAAACCTATATATTTTCAAATTAAATATAATTAATGTATATATAGGTTTATATAAATGTAGAGCTTGGAGCAACATACAGACAAGTCTACTTTTTAAAATTGTTCAGAACGTTCAAAATAAAATTCTTTATATCATTGGCATAGTACCATTGGTGTAAACAATTCTTTTTTTTTGTTATTATTTTCGTGATATGACAAATTAAATGTTTATACTAGAAAAATGTAGATATCTATTTGTTGATAGAAATGGTCTCGATAGAGAAAAACATTTTTTAACTTGTTTTTTATTCATTTTTTTTTTACAAATTCCAAATCAATTAATCTATTAATTAAACCATTCATTGTAATCAACGTTTGTGGGGTTTTTACAAAATAGTGTACATTTTAACAAGGTAGCGTTTTCAATTGCTGTTTAGTATTTTTTTTAAAATTTTTATTGAAAGAGGTAAATGGTTGGCATTATAAAATACCTTTCGTAATCGATTTCTGATTTGTAGATTGGATATAATGAGCTGATTGGTAGAGACTAAAAAAACGATTTACCCATTTTATAGCGTGCCACAGGCCAATCCAAATATCTCCTACAGGTAAATTGAGTTTTTTGATATTATGTTACCATCATAAATAATTCAATCATTTTATACATCGAATAAAAAAAAAATTATTCTAAAAAGTATGAATGAAACTAACATAATGTAATCACAACTATCGAAAAAGTAATACATTTTATTTTGAATTTTAAATAAATATAAAATAAAACCTTCCAAATTATACATATTAAATTTTATAAGGTATTATTTTGTAACAATTTTTTTTTTTTTTATTTCAACTTCAAAATAGTGTATTATTATTTTGACAATATTATGAATATAGTTATATGATAGATAATAAAATATAATTATGTTTTTCGCATGTATAAACAATTACAAGTTGTTATCATCCAATTGGTTTGGTTGAAAATCTTATATTTCAAATTCTTCCAAACAGTATACTTAATTAAACTAGTATTAAAAAAAGGTCAAACGAGTACAGAATACAAATCATCCTCATTTTTTTTTTATTCGACAATCAGTATTATTAATTTTAAATTCTCTGTTATATAATTCTATGAGATAAAAAATAATTTATTTTTCAATTCAGTCAGCATATATTAATTAATTTATATTGGTATAAAAACACATTTTATTTGTTAAGAAATTCAGGCAAAAACAATATAATAACAAATCTGAACGATAAAACTGCTACTTGAGTAAGTAAGCCGACCAAACATAAATAAAACCATGTTTTACTTCATACTTTTAACAAAATATTTTAATTCTATACTTATAAAATGTTTATTAATTTAACACATCATCCAATTTGTTTGGTTAAAAACCTAACATTTAAAATTCTTCCAAACAGCATATTTTATTTAAAATAAATCATTATCTTTTTTTTTTGCGTGACAATCAGTATTTACTTATTATTTTTTTTAATGATCATTCCATCTCTGCTATATAATTCTATAAGATAGAAAATAATTTGAGTTCCAATAAAAGTATTGACGATGTAATGACGAATTGAGATTTTATCCGTTGGATACGATTCACTGGTATGCCAGATTTGCACAAATATTATTTACTATACTAAGATGGAAAGTATAACTTTCTTTGTATCCTCCAGTTAACTTAAAACTGAACATAAAACATTAGAGGCGTTACACAGCTGGAACTGTACAATATAATGTTGAAATTTTAACACACAAGATTTAATAATTAAAAAATAACATTATATGGGTATATTTGTTTCTGTCAACTAACATAAATACTAAATACATACACATGTATTCTGGTGGTAATGATTTTACAATCTTAGGTAACTTAATTTAGCAGTAAAATTAAACTGCAAAATAATATAACACGTTAAGTACACTGTTTAATAATGTGTAAAACATATTGGTTTCACTTAATACCTTGTGATCAGTTAAACGATATTAATAATTTAAAAATTATAAGAAAACTATTACTAAGATATTCAATCTGAATAAAATCGTTAATAAAAAAAAATTCTAAAATAATTACAAGCTTTTGAAAAACTATTTTAAAACTGCTAAATTTTCCATACGTGAGGTTTATGATGTTATGAGCCATGAGCTTTTGCTTTATGTCTTTTGAGAGTATCTTGGCAACCATATGATTTATCACAGGCTGAGCATTTATATCGTACCACACCAATATGTATCCGTGCATGTCTCTTGAGATCAGATTGTTGTCTGAATGTTTTTTCACAGACATCGCATTTAAACGGTTTTTCGCCGGTATGAATACGTGCATGGTTCTTGAGATGAATTTGTTGACTGAATGTTTTTTCACAGACAACGCATTTATAAGGTTTTTCACCAGTATGTATCCTTTCATGTTTTTTAAGACTTTTTTGTAGACGGAATGTTTTTTCACAAACATCGCACTTAAAAGGTTTCTCGCCGGTATGTATCCGTGTATGATTCTTGAGATCAGATTGTTGAATGAAGGTTTTTTTACAGATATCGCATTTAAACGGTTTTTCGACGGTATGTGTGCGTTTATGAATTTTTAGGTGTTGTTGTGTACCAAACGTTTTTTCACAGACATCGCATTTAAACGGTTTCTCGCCGTTATGTATCCGTGTATGTTTCTTGAGATCAGTTTGTTGAATGAATGTTTTTTTACAGATATCGCATTTAAACGGTTTTTCGACGGTATGTGTGCGTTTATGAATTTTTAGGGATTGTTGTGTACCAAATGTTTTTTCACAGAACTCGCATTTAAACGGTTTCTCGCCGGTATGTATACGTGCATGTGTCTTGAGAGCAGATTGTTGACTGAATGTTTTTTCACAGACAACGCATTTATAAGGTTTTTCACCAGTATGTATCATTTCATGTTTTTTAAGACTTTGTTGTAGATTGAATGTTTTTTCACAGACATCGCACTTAAAGGGTCTCTCGCCGGTATGTATCCGTGTATGATTCTTGAGAGCAGATTGTTGACTGAATGTTTTTTCACAGACAACGCATTTATAAGGTTTTTCACCAGTATGTATCGTTTCATGTTTTTTAAGACTTTGTTGTAGATTGAATGTTTTTTCACAGACAACGCATTTATAAGGTTTTTCACCAGTATGAATACGTGCATGGTTCTTGAGATGAATTTGTTGACTGGATGTTTTTTCACAGACATCGCACTTAAATGGTTTCTCGCCGGTATGTATGCGTTCATGAGTTCTGAGGTGAAATATCTGACCAAATCTTTTTTCACAAATATTGCATTTAAAGGGGTTTACTCCGGTATGAACGCGCCAATGTTGTCTAAGGTATGATTTTGATGAACAACTTTTCAAACAAATACCACAATTAAATAAGCCATCTTTGTTTCGAGTATACTCTTTGATTCTGCTGTTACGATGATTGACTTTATTTTTTTGAGGCGCTTTCTTTTTCACGGAAGTACTGGTATGCGATTTCGCAATATGCCGGATTATATTATTTTTGGCTGTAAACCTCCTTTGACATATATTGCAGTCGAACCGACGTAGTTTGTATATATTTTTCTCAGAATTATTTTTTATAGTTCCAATAAAACTACAATCCATATTTTTTGTATTATTCCAGGTATCGGTCGCTTTACATGAAATATGAATACTGCAACACATATGAAACAAAATAGATTAATTTAAGATTAAAATTTCAAAAATATAAAACGGGTCGAAATCTATTTTTTTTGAAAAAAAACTGAAAAACCTCTATATTTAGAGCAAAAATTAGTGATAAAAATTTCAAAAAATAAATCTCTTATCATAGACCAAAAGAAAAAAAAAATTTTGAGGAGGTCAAGCCGATGACCGCGTGGTTTGACTCAAAATTCCCTTTATATATATATATATATAAACAATGCAAACATACGCTAACATAATGTGGTACCGCAGACATTGACCGGTCATCATAACCACAAAGAAATAATTTTTTTTTTTGTTATTTTGATTTAACATTATATTGATAAGAGTTAGATGTAGCTTTAAACTAATCTATTATTATATGAACAAGTGGTTCCTAATATAAGTTTTAATGATATCGAAACACTAACATTGATACCAACGACGGGTTTAAATAGGAGGACAACATAATTACAAGTAGCTTTATTTAGGATAAAAATAAATGGTATTAAAAATCGCCTTACTTATAACTACTGTGGACTTCGTTCTTTATCAAATACTCCTCTGTTGTAGAAATTTCTTTGCTTAAGAGCTGCACATCAAACGGTTTAGATTCAATGTCCTTGAACGATTTTTCCACCGAGTGTTCTTCTGTTTCATCATTTTCAGGTTTAATTTTCAATATATTATACCGCTTCAAAATTCTATAATTGACATTCAACATTAGTTGTATGTTTATATGACTTGAAAGTAAGAAGCCAAGACGATAATGATTAAAGGTTGAGGATAGCCCATTTGAACGACTAGATTAATTTTAAGTGGCGTAGATCTCGTGTCACTTGAATAAACTCAGTATACACGAGAGTTTATACTTCAAAAACTAAATAAGTGATTAGTTTTTTATTTACTTAGATGTACATGATTAGTTTCCAACAGCTGAATTAAATATTTATTGGTTTTATACTGTGTTTCAATCACCAATTCTTCAAAATTGTGTGTATTGTTAAATACATTATAATACTCATCAACTCAGTAATTAACAAACCAAAATAATATTCTACTTTATATTCAGGCTTTTATACATAAAAAGATCATTTAATTGGCCTGTCGTGTAAGCATAAGGTCTATTAGCTAAAAAAAGAGTAAAAATTTTTTTTTGTTTTTTAAAAAATTTGAGGTCAGGCCGATGACTGCGTGGTTTGATACAGATTGCTCTATATATATATATATATATAACAAAAAGTCTCGTGCGAATATGCACTAACATAATGTGGTACCGCAGACATTGACCGGTCATCATACCCACAAATATATAATTTTTTTTTTTGGTATTTTGATTTAACATTATATTGATAAGAGTTAGATGAAGTTTTAATTTAATCTATTATTATATAAACAAGAGGTTCCTAATATAAGTTTTATGATAGCGAAATGCTAACATCGATACCAACGACAGGTTTAAAAAGGAGGCCAACATAATTACAAGTAGCTTTATTTAGGATAAAAATACCATGATGTAATTTATTTCATTTTAAAAAATCTTACCATTTCTTTAAAAAATAAAACCTAGAAGAAACGGCTTTTTAAACAACTTTCCCCTTTAGTGTACATTTTTTTTTATAATAGCGTGTATCTTAAGCCCCAGAACTAATTATACTAATTTTTTTTTTACAACTGTTAAAATGTAGATAGGTATAGATGTATACATATTAATATATATATAACACGGTATGTCTCGTGCGAATGTACGCTATCATAATGTGGTATTACAGTGTGATTTAACATTATATTGATAAGATGAAGATGTAGTTTTAAAACAATCTATTATTATATGAACAAGTAGTTCCTAAAATAAGTTGAATAACGGAATGCTAACATCGATAAAAACAACGGGTGTATAGAAGAGGACAACATAATTACAAGTTAATAGTTTCATATAGGATAAAAAATTAATGGTAATAAAAATCGCCTTACTCATAACTATTGTCGACTTCATTCTTTACCAAATACTCCTCTGTTGTAGAAATTTCATTGTTTATGAACTGCACATCTAGCGGTTTAGGTTCAATGACTTCAAACAATTTTTCCAAGGAGTGATCTTCTGATTCGTCATTTTCTTGTTTAATTTGTAATATATTATACTGCTTCAAAGCTCTATAAATGACATTTAACATCAGTTATAATTCTTTACATATATAGGATTATTAGGAAGACTTAACTATACAATTTTAACTATTGTTTTTTAAATATTAAAAACTATTTGAATTTACCTTAATTAGATAAATAACACACGCCTACAAGTATAACTTGTAGGTAAAAAGCTAACACAATAAAGATCAAAGCTAGGCGATAGCCCATTTGACCAACTAAATCCTTACTCATTGTATATATATATATATATATATATAACTGAAATATTATTTACCAAACAATTATTTTAAAAGAGTATATAATTTACTGAAAATTTTAACTTATCGTTAACAAGTAAAATAATTTCAAATGTAAAGGGCTAGTGGATTAAGTTACTCAAGGAAAGTTTATATTTCTTTATTATCTTTATTATCTTTATTATCTTTATTATCTTTATAACATCTTTATAACATCGATAACTACGACGGGTGTTTAGAACTGGACAACATAATTACAAGTTAATAGTTTCATTTGGAATAAAAAATAAATCGTAATAAAAATCACATTACCCATAAGTATTGTCGTCTTCATTCTTTACTAAATACTCCTCTAATGTAGAAATTTCATTGTTTATGAACTGCACATCTAGCGGTTTAGGTTCTATGACTTCAGGCGTTTTTTCAAAAGAGTGTTCTTCTGTTCCATCATTTTCATGTTTAATTTTCAACATATTATACTGCTTCAAAATTCTATAATTGACATTTAACGTTAATTATATTTCTGTGCCATATATGCATCGAGGTTTAATAGGACAACTTCACCACACAATTTTAACTATTTAATTAAGTAACAAATGAAGTAAGAATAACGATATAATAAAGAATAATTTAGTTAGCACTATTTGAAAAATAAAAACCAACAAAGTTTTGAGAGATATATTTTGTTTTTTTGAACTTTTAATCTTAGATTTTAATTTACTTTAATTAGACGAATAACAGAAAACTACAAGTATGACTTGTAGGTAAGACACTAACACGATAAAGATTTAAGAAACGATAGCCTATTTGACCGACTAAATTAATTTCAAGTGTCGTTGATCTTGTGTCACTCAAATCAACTCAGAGTAAATAATAAGTAATAAACAAAAACCTATAGATTATGATTCTATTTATTCACAAACAGTATGGTAAGTCAACGGGAGACAGAAAACACGGCAATAATGTAAATAAATTCAAAATACATAACAGTAGGTACTCACACAACGTAGAACCGTAAACCGCTGTTCAGGGCTGCTACTAAAAACTTAAAATGAATAACAGGCAAAACAAAACTCAATTGCAACGCAAATTGAAACGAAATAAAGAAACACGAGGCACCACGTTAGGAATTTATCACTGAATTCGACCAAGTTATTATGATTAAAAACTAGAAATTCTCACGAATTAGAGACGGAGCATCAATACCGAAAACAAATTATACCTATGTCCTATTGCAAAAATCTAAACTGACTATTTATCATTCACAAAAATTCAGAGTGTACAAAAAGAAATATAAATTATTAACAAAAACAAAACTTGTAATTTGTGATTTTAATGCAAAATGAATGACAGCATAGAAATGTTCTAGACAGATTTGTGATAGCGTGTGTTTGTTTGATAACGAGTGATTGCCACAAATGGAGGTATTTTGCAGCGTGGAGGTAAACTGTCGTGCGTTTTAGGCGGCAAAAAAATCAAAATCTCAACTCTTGTTTCAAAGCTTGTTGTAAACTTACCTTCGTCGACATCCTTTAACTTGTATTAATGCGTTTACTTAAGACTTTATCCGCTTTGGACACATCTTTCGCTAATTGTGTTAAAATACATAGGCCCCACACTAGTAAAATAATATTTAATATTATAATAACAAAAAAAATAGTTGTTAAAGAAAGCCAGTACATTTGGGTATAGTGAAGACTGGGATGTAACAGGTCTACAGGAATTGTTTTAAACGAAAGTGATATAATCACTTTTAAACAAACGCTTGACCACGGAATTTTGAGAAAATTGTACCGATATGTTTTACTTCCATTCTTGATCTACCTTCAGTCTAATTTTCAGAACTAAATCACTAAAAATTTGCTTGAAAAAGTGAAATAAAGAAAAAATGCCTCTCCTTTTCACTTAAAGGTTTATGATATGTTTTTGTTTTGTCAATGTTTATCGGTAGTAGGTACTATGTTTAATGAATATTTCAGATTTGTGATTTGTGAAAAAATATTAATATGTTCTGGTTTTACAACTGTTAAAGTTTCATGTATTCATATTTTTATTTTGCTAGCCTCACTATAGTTTTGTACAATTTTGAACATTTCTTCTGCCCTACATAACACATCATTTTGTCACATAATATGTTTGTTGCCTCTTTCCATCACAAATTTTTAGTTATAAGGTTTTATTAATAAAAAATATTTTAACTGAACACTGGTACCATGATTTCAGAGTAATATCATTAAAAGGAATATTATTTCGACAAAAATCATTTGATATCCCTCCTAACCTCTGTCAACTTGATGTCATTCTTTTTTTCTGTTTTATATCTTACACAATGAAGTTCTCCCCAAGTATCATCAACAACAAAATCGTATAAAAAAATAGTATTTTAAATATATACCAAAGCATTGAAGAGCCATATGATTAAAAGTAATCATACTACAAAATTTGTATGTTTGCTTTTCTGCACTGTCTATCAATTTCCATTATCTCCCTCTTTGTCATGTCTTTCACAATGAACTGTTCCTTCATCATTCACAAACACGAATAAGTCGTTTTTCTTGTTAACAACATCTGCATTTTAAAATATTTATGAATAAAATAATGTATAATATACTTACTTGGACAAATATATACCGACTTGAGCAATCTCCATTTAATGCCAAGGTCATGTTAGGCATTTCAAACCATTTATAATGTTTTAAATTAAACTTGACCACCAACAAGATAAATTAGTAATTACGTTTTCTATTCAAATTTAGAGTATTCTACAGTCGCAAGAAAATTACCATTATCTCTACCAAAACTACAAATACAATAATACCTAATTAAGTTCACACGTACCATATTTACTCAGTAAATTGAATATTTTCCTTTTTTTTTTTTTGTTATACAAATTAATAAAATACAAGAAGAAACTTGTTTAATAGTTATGCATGGTTTATATGGTAAAATTGTGTTTACTTACAACAAATAATTAATAACTAAATATTGTAGAGTTTCACAAGACTCGAACCTCGAGCAGTGGGCATTGGTTCAATAATTTCTGTACTTATTGGTATTTGTTTGGTTTAACAATGTTTATCGGTAATACTATAATTAAAGAATATTCCATACAAATTTGGAAAAAAACTAATGTTTTTAAAAAAGTTATACCTAGGGCATCGTAATTTTAAGTTCAATAAAAAAAACTTTTTAAAAAACATGCTTTTATAAAAAAAAAAATAGTGAAAAGTGAACTAAAAAGTAAAAAATAATTTTATTACAAGAACAATTTACTAATCAATTGTAGCATATTTTATTTAAAATGTCAATTACTTTGAAAAAAACCGAAAATTAACTACAATTTTAAATAATTTTAAACATCTTTAATTTTTGACTAAAAAGAAAAGCGTGGGCCCTATTCAATAAATTCCAAATTCATTGAGTTAAGTATTATGAAATGTATGTGTCACACACAAATATTAAACCAAATTTGAATCACAAAAGAACTTCCAATATAATTTATTAGGGACTGTGTTGAATGGGGCCCACGCTTTTCTTTTTAGTCAAAAATTAAAGATGTTCAACATTATTTAAAATTAGTTAATTTTGTATGTTAACCACTAAAAAATAAAAAACAATACACTTCTCTTAAACAGCTTGAATATTTTTTTTTTTTAGTAGTTTAATTTAAATATCTTCTTGAGTTTTATTACAAATGCTAATACAGTGTATTGATCGACTGAACACAGTTGTATTTAAAATAACACAATACATTGTGATTAAATCTCTAGAAGTTTAACAATATGTTGAATTTATTTTCTTATGTAATACTTAAGATGGATCGTTTAGATATTTAATAAGTTATTTTACTGTTATTCAATTGACATATTATTAACTAATCAATTTTATTTTTTTTTTGTTCCAGAACTGTTAATGAAACTGATTTTTCTCCACCTCAAAAATGCCATAGACCAATCACATATTATGTCCAATGTATAATAACTTAACTTGTAGTGTTTAAAAACAATCAATAAACTGGCTTTTCCGTTAATTACATGATACGCAAGTTTATTTCTTCTACTCTAGTCTGTTTATTATCATGCACAGTTGGACAAAGATTCTTGTTTTTAACTAGTTAAAGTTGTATTAGCTACATTCTTAAAATTAAAACAAATCAACTCGAGCAAGTAAAAAGTTATTTAAAAAAAAATCAACTGAAGTTAAATCAACGTTTAAAAACTTATTGCCAAATTTCTCATTTAAAATTTCCACGCGACAATTTTTAATGTTTTAATCACAATAACATTACCTATATTACCTATATTATGTATATTAGCTCTACGCTCCTGTAATTATCATTGTAAAATAGTTTAAATTGCAAATAAAATATAAAAGACATTTTTCCAAAATTTTATTATCGTTAGGTTAGGTTAGGTTAAACCTAACCTACTCTAATCCATCATTACTGGCTTTCTAAAAGTTTAAGGCTTCTCTTAAATCATTTACTCAATAAATAATAACAAATCTCAACAAGTTCTCAAAAAAAATTATACATTCATTTACAATTTATACTAATATTCTTATTATAGATTTATTTCTCCTGTCACAGATCAACATCAATTTGATTATATTAAGCTAATACTTGACTTTACTTAACATTTTCCAAATAGACAATAAACACACAAAAAAAAAACATTACCTTTATAGTATCATTAAAGTTTTAATAAACGTGTTTCAGATATAATAATAACGAATCGAGACTTTTGTCGACGGATACGATTCACTTGTAGGCCAGATTTCATTGACTTTTTAACTTGACAATAATGTACTAATAATGTACTGGGCGCACTTCCCAACAGCACTTCCTCTCCCATCCTAACTATTAAAATCTTATAACTTCAAAAATAGTTATCCAAAACTGGTTATCGATTAGTAATAGTGTTTAGTACATTATTCTCAATTTAACAAGTTCATGAAATGTATGCGTTACCATTTAAGTTTCAAAAGTTGCTATAAAAAAAACTAATTTGGGAGGGGGGTAAAAAACACAAAATTGTGAAAAATTGAGATCACATGGCAAAAAAAAATGTAATTTCTTATTAAACCCTATTATATATAGAATGGTTCACGATAAAATTACTACCCTGTATCTTGTATTTTCAGTATGACCTTCACTACGTCATAAAGGTATAATGTATGTTTTAAAGAATAATGAAAATTTATATATTTTTTTTTTTTTGAAAATCACACAATACAGGTAATTACAGTTCCCACGTGTTATTTGAATATTAGCTAAGTAATGATAAATATTGTATACAGTAATACATTTATAATTTCATCGTATGTGAAGATTTATTAAAATATAGTTTTCAGACAAAAACATGTGTAATACAAACTAATTAAAAAAAAAAAATTATAAAAAAATACTAATTTTAATTATCAATTAAAATAAAAATCAATGTATGAACTATAAAATAATACAACATTTCTCTCAAACTTTTTTAGTACGGTTACAGAAACATATTATCATGGTCGACTTGCACTAGATTTAAATCATAAGTACTAAAAATTATTGTTTTAATAAATATTCCTTATGTGCAAATAAATACATTTCGATTCAAAAGTATGATTTTCTAAATGATTACAATTAATATTGAGTAAAATATTTTAATTCTAATTAAGTTGTTTATTTTATTTTTGTTATGTATTTTTTTATACACGCACATTATACATTTTATGTAATATTTTACTTACTTATAAAATGTCTACTATTAGTTAAATATTAAAGCTAACATTTTATACATTGCAACTGTATCAAGCATATTTACTTATACTATTAGGTGAAAAATTAACTATAACATTTATTTTCACTAGTTGTTCGTCATACATTTTTTAAAAATGATGTTAATAACTGAAACTTATAGTGTCGTGTTGTATGTATATTTACTGTAGTAATTACAGTTACATATTAACAAAATATAATTATTCAATAACATGCATACAATTTAACACCATAAATTTCAGTTATTAACATTTTTTGTAACGAACACATAGTGAAAATAAATGTTATAGGTAGTTTATAATAATATTTTAAATAATACACTCTAAATTATACAAAAACAATATTATTAAAAACGTACAAACTAATAAAGCGTGATTTAATTTTTACAAGTAAATTGTTTTACAGAACTTGTGTTTGAGATTTTCTTGTCAAACAGATTAGTTACTCAAATTAATTTCTATTGTTTTAAAACAATTTCAACACTTTCTAAAACTGGTTAAGGGGCAATATTTAATTTACTTTAAAACTGCATGACCTAATATGCCATACGGTTAAAGTCAAAAA